ATACGATTAACGGCGTACGCCTAACCGAAATAAACCTTCCTCCATTATTGTACAGTCGGCATGTGATATGAATTCATTTGATGAAAACTTATGATTGTGTGCATGTCGGCGCGGCGTGCATGCTTTATTTATTATCGTACCTGGTGCGCACGAACGGGGACGTTTGGGCGTAGTACTCCAACACACCTGCAGACGTCTGCATATCTGTTTGCTTTTGTTTCCGCCAGCGGTTTTATCCAGTTCCCGCGTTTTTTTCTTTTACGTCTATTACGTAAATAAAGGCTTGTTTTTTATGGGGGGAAAAGACCGGCGTTCCACCCAACGCTCACTAGACTTGGGTTTATAATGGTATGGACTTGTGGTGGAATCAAAGGGGAAGATGTAGGGTGGGGTTGGATGGAAGTGGCGGGGCGGGGGGTTGGGGGGAGGGGACACGACGGAATAAGTCCATTTGCAAAGCCTCTTTAATCAAACATGTGCACCCTATAAAGATATATTTTAGTAATTTACTTTTTATTTCTTCTGACGTGTATTTAATTAGCTTAATCTAAAGATCCTAATTAGTTTTTTTCTGGCTACAGTTGCATGCATACGATTTTAAAGCATTGCCTAGCCGTGGAGCGCTAGACTGCTAACCCAAAAGTCTCGAGTTCGAATCCGGGTCCAAGTCAGTCGAACGTCCCTGAGTCCACCCAGCTCTGATGGGTATTGAACTCACGTTAGGGAAAGTAAAGGTGGCTGGGCATAGTGCTGACCACACTATCCCATCATATGCCGTGGACACAGAAACAGGTGAACTCTACTTCACTTGCACCATGGACCTTCATGCTCGAAAGGAAACTTTACCTTTTATATATATATATATATATATATATATATATATATATATATATATATATATATATATATATATATATATATATATATATATATATATATATACATACATATATATATATATATATATATATATATATATATATATATATATATATATATATATATATATTGAAAAAAAAGACGTAATACGTCACAGTGGACGAACACCCTGACCCACACCGCCGCTTATATATATAGATATCGAGTACAAAAAATATTTCTAGAAGTCTGTCCCCTAGCCTGTCAGGGTCATGAGTCATGACGAGCAATTTGTCGCCTGCGCCAAGTTCAAGGTCACCAAAACGATTTTTTCCCCCGCTACCCCTTCTAAACTCGGGAATCTCCCGAGGTAAATAGATTAGCATAATCCGAGTTCCAGAAATCTTCGTCTAAACTGCGCTTTCACCGCAGCTTGGTAAAGAAGTGGGGTGGGGAGGTGCAGCCCCAAAAAATACTTCCAGAAACTAAGTTTTATTGTCCTTACCCCCCCCCCCCCTCTCTTGTTTTTGACATGTGTGGTAGATCAGCTTACGGGAATACCGACATCGTTTTTATTTGAAATAATCCCAGCACTGTTTTTACAACCATTGTCGCCTGCCAATGGAGTTGGTTTTTGTTACCCGTTCACCTCTGTTGAGTGCTGTCTTAGTGCAGACCATCTCCACACTACTAACACACACACACACACACACTAACACACACTCAAATTGCCGCGCGCACGCACACTAACGCAAACACACAAACTCACGCAGTCTCGAACGTAAACTTAATTCGCATTGTACACACGTGCGAAACAGAGTTTCTTCGAGGCATCTTTTCTACCGCCCCCCCCCCCCCCACTACCTCAACGAGATGGATTTTATATAATAAACATACACTTTTACTCGTGTCCGCCCCCCCCCCCCCGAAAAATGTTGACCCCCTGAAAATTTCAAGTGCCCCCCCCCCTGGAGAAAAAGTCTTTGAAGAAACACTGTTGACCATTCTGTACAACATGACCATTCTGTTTCCCTTGGGCATTCCTTACATAACAATGCCATTCTTTGCTTCATTTAACAATATAGAAAAAAAAATCCACGAGCTGGTTAGGAGCCTACCAAAGACCAACCCCCCCCCCCCCCAGCCCATTACCACACGTTAACTCTTATCCTCCCTGGTCATCGAAACCCATTCATCCTCAGGTGACAGACGCGAAACACGGGTCAATCTCCAGGATCCGGCCAGGCCGCGGCCGCGCCCAGATCCGGTCCATTGAACTCAGCCCTCGCTAGCTCAAGCGCTCCCACCGTACAAACACCCACAACCCTTTAAAAAAAAAACTGTTTTTCTTTCATTACTGTCAGAGGCAAGTGACTCTCAAACCAAGTCCTATTCTAGATTTGACAGTGAACAATCTATCATTTTCTCGCGTGCCTTGTGCTATTAATTCCTTTTTTTGATTCTGTCACGTTAACAGCTGTGAGTCATATGATAGAAGTCTGGCATAACTCTAACCAAAAGACAAAAATAAACTTTTTTTTACAGGCCTGTCAAGTCTAGCAGTGAAAATAAATAAATACATATTGAGTTTCTCGCTCACGAAAACACGTTTATATAAACACAATACATGTATATATTTGCTCAGCGGATTTACACGAGATTTGTGTTGAGTAAATTCAGACATAATTATTCGTTTATTGAGACACGTAATACGGTTCGAGTATTGAATCACGCTTGACTGTTCGCGTGTTGAATCGTGCTACACTATTTATGATTAAATCAACGTACACGGTTCGTATTTCGAGGTATACTGAAGCATGCTCTGATGTTCGTATGTATAATCATGCCCTACTGTTCGCGTCTTGAAGCATGATCATCTATTCCTAATTAAATCAAGGTATACGATTCGTATATCGAGGCATGCTCAACTGTTCGTGTTCTGAGGCATGCCCCAAATTTGCATATTGAATCATGCTCCACCGTTCGCGTCTTGAATAACACTCCACCGTTCGCGTCTTGAAGCATGCTCCTCCGTTCGCGTCTTGAAGCATGCTCCACCGTTCGCGTCTTGAAGCATGCTCCTCCGTTCGCGTCTTGAAGCATGCTCCACCGTTCGCGTCTTGAATAACACTCCACCGTTCGCGTCTTGAAGCATGCTCCTCCGTTCGCGTCTTGAAGCATGCTCCACCGTTCGCGTCTTGAATCATGCTCCACCGGAGTCCACCGTTCGCGTCTTGAAGCATGATTCGCTGTCCATAAATAACCGAAATTCCTATGTTAGTCTCCCAGCAAATTCCAATGTGCCCGTTCTTTTGAGGGTCGTGTTGACCTAGTGTGCTTACTGGACCGTGGCCTCTAAAAACATCCCATAATTGCATGCCTTGGGTCAGCTCAGGTGTTAAAGACCACCTAAGTGTTTGAGAGTTGGGGTGAGGGTTTTTATTATCGCGATTCGTGGTCATGGTTAATTTTTTTTAAAGTTAGTTTTGAGTTTATTGTTGATGTATAGAGTTATGTTTAGGTGGTTTTTAACCTGGGTTCGATCGAAACCCAGGTGTTCGGTGAGTCAGTCTCAGGGGTTCAATCAAGGTCAAGACACACACCCGATAGGATTTTGTTAATGTGAACGATAGAACTATTAAGTAGGGTTCGTCAAATGTGCATATGAAACGTGTGGGGTTCGGTGCCTCCAAAAAGGTAAAAAACCACTAGAGTATGATGTATGATTTATGTGATGTTAGCTTTTATGTTAGGTTTAAGGTTAGGGCTAAGTTATGGAATAGCTAGGATTAAGGATCTTGGCTAAGTTTAAATCAATGGCTACATTTTCGTTCCACTTTGGGATACATGTCTATAAACTACCCTTGTATAAGTAAACTGTTCTAAATGTAAGAAGTAAACAGTGTAAATTGTGAAATATATCTAAAGAATAAATCGGAAAGGGTGAATCGACTATACCGTTTTCGTTTGAGAAAAAATGTAATATATCAAACTAAAGAAATCAGTGTTATCTTTTAATACAAGTTCTTCAAACTCGCTGGCAAACGCTTAACGCGTCAATTATTTCAATTTATTTCACTGATTTCTTCATACTCATTCAAGCGTGAAAAATTAATTCGTCAATTACCAAAAAAATAATAATTAGATTTTTATTTTAAATTACGGGTCAAGGCCAATCATTTGATCAGGATAAAGCTTTACGGCGCGTGCGATGGGGATGACGCATAAAAAATCAAATTAAAAAAAAAACGAAACGAACTTTTATCTAAGAATTTTCTTTTCATAATAATTTGTTCAGTCAAGCTGTTGAGCCGTGCATTGAAGCCGTGAGCCGCACATTGAAATTGTGAGCCGCACATTGAAAATGTGAGCCGCACAGACGGTGTTTTTGATGGTTTAATTTAGTTTAATTGGTAAGGGGGGGGGGGGGGATATCTTGCAATCGAATTGTTTTTTCTTCTTTTTATCGTCAACGATTTTAGGGTCATCGACAGGGCATACGCCATTAAGGGTTGTTGGCTAATCGTGTATGTGAGTGTGTATTGTGTGTGTGTGTGGGGGGGGGTGATTTTCAGAGCGTTTTACTGTCTATCTTCCTTACTTCTCAATTTTCTTTAACATCACTTTTTGAATGCGAACTTTGAACGACTAATAATGGATATCTGAAATTTCTTTCTTAAATAATGTTATTCCGGGAAATTTAGCAAATAAACGAAAAAAAAAACGAACAGTGTGACATTAAATTGAGAATATCTTTTTTTTTTTTAATTTTTAAATAATTTATTTTGCCACTTGATGATTCATTTTAAAATTGTTTGAAAACCACACTTTTCTTTCTTTATTTAATTTTTTGCAAGTCACCATTTTATATATAAGAAAATAGTGTAACATCTGCGCGTGAGTTTTAATGTCATGTATTTGGCGATATGGGGGTGGGGATGGAAAGGGTGGGGGGAGGGGATCGAATATTAATTGGCAGCAGATTTTGATTTGACGCGCGATAAGAAAACGACCCGACGATAACCTTCACTCAAAAAGATTTTTATTCTAATTCCCCCCCCCCCCCCCCCCCCCCGCCTTGTGCTGTCTCCCAGGTCATTAACCCGCACCCAGCAACAATATAAACCCCACAATGGCCGTTAATGACGGCGGCCATCCTGGCACATTGTCTCCGATTCTCCCTCTGGCATGGCTCGCGTGAAAAATCTGGCAGGACCTGCCCACCAGAATGGAACGAGAATACGTTTATGATTTCTCACAAGTCAAACAATGAGAGAAGGAAACTGGGTACAAGTACGCTAACATTGGGACACGATCGATGGTTCTAGACGGCAGACGCGAGGTCACCGCCCGACCAGAACGCGGCCAGAAATAAATCCCATGCACTCGATCGTCGATACTTCTCATATTGGATTCTAAGAGCATCTTTTTTTTTTTTTTTTTTTTTTTTTTTTTACATCCGCATAGGAGATTTGGTTTTTTTTCCTCTTCTTAATCAATAGAAAAGCAAACAGTACAATTAGATATTCTTTGGAGACGAAAGTGTGAAGAAAGTTAGAACGAAGTCCTAGATTGACCCCTTCCCTAATTGTATATTTCATAGTCTATACTGTCCACCTCTTATGTCGTCCAAATTCTGTATCTACCACTTTTTCTATTGACCACTATCTAAATCGACGTTTTCCTGTATTGACCACTTCCTATACTGACCACTTAATATGCTGACTACTTCGTATACTGACCACTTCGTATACTGGCCACTTCCTATACTGACCACTACCTCTACTGACCACTCTCTATACTGGCCACTTCCTAAACTGGCCACTTCCTGTACTGACCACATCTTATACTGACCACTTCGTATACTGACCACTTCCTATACTGACCACTTCCTATACTGACCACTCCCTGTACTGACCAGTTCTTATACTGACCACTTCCTATACTGACCACTTCCTATACTGACCACTTCCTATACTGACCACATCCTATACTGACCATTTCTTATATTGACCACTTCGTATACTGACCACTTCCTATACCCACCACTTCCTATACTGACCACTTCGTATACTGACCACTTCCTATACTGACCACTTCGTATACTGACCACATCCTATACTGACCACTTCGTATACTGACCACATCCTATACTGACCACTTCTTATACTGACCACTTCGTATACTGACTACTTAATATACTGACCACTTCGTATACTGACTACTTCCTATACTGACCACTTCCTGTATTTCCCACTTCCTGTATTGCCCACTTCCTATACTAACCACTTCCTATACTGACCACTTCCTATACTGACCATTTCCTGTACTGACCACTTCTTATACTGACTACTTAATATACTGACCACTTCCTATACTGACCACTTCCTATACTGACCACTTCCTGTATTTCTCACTTCCTGTATTGCCCACTTCCTATACTGACCACTTCCTGTATTTCCCACTTCCTGTATTGCCCACTTCCTATACTGACCACTTCCTATACTGACCACTTCCTGTATTGCCCATTTCCTGTATTGCCCACTTCCTGTATTGCCCACTTCCTTTATTGCCCACTTCCTGTATTGCCCACTTCCTATTCTGAACCCCTTGTTCCTCCCATCAACAGAACTCCAGGCCGAAGAATGCAAGTCCAGCCAATTGGAACTCATCAGGCGGCTCCAGCAGACCTGCCGACACGAGAACGACAACCTGCTCAAGTTTGAGATGGATCACGACTACAACCAGACCTGCAGGTGAGTCTAAAGGTCAAGGTCATCTACCACCCACTCCCCACCCCCTCTTCCGCCCACCCTAACGTACTCAAGTCTACATTACCCACCACCCTGACCCTTACCCCACCAAATATAAACTCGTTTTTTTTTTTTTTTGTATAATGCTAGAGGTCATCTTGACCGAGATTGGCCAGATAATTAAATAAAACCCGATCCACTGGCACGTTCGCTAGGAAAAAAAGGGGGGATAAAAAAAAGAATGATTCGTTTAGCCAAGATAAGAAATATATTCATGTACCCTATGGGGCTTGATGTACTGATTGTGCGGAGCTTAAGACGGGGGTGTATTTCTGTGGGTTAAGATGGCTGGGGATCAAGATGGGGAGATAACGTGGAGCTTAAGAGGCCGGAGCTCAGCTTGCTCAGGCTTTTACCGAGAAGAATAAAACATCTATTGGCAGTGTGGCCGAGGGGATTAATGCTCATCGTGTAGGGGGTGTTTTAGAGTTCGAATCAAGGCGTGACTCGTTTTGCGTGGGATCGCGGGGTCAAGGACAATTAATATTGTTGAATCAAACTTCTATTAACACGAGTAGAGCAATAAAAAAATAATAACCTCAGTTTTTTTTTTAGTATTAGGAATATTTTGTGGTAAAAAGCGTAAAATACTTTACAGTAATATTTTACATGTAGCGTAAAAGAAGCGTATATTGACTGAAGAGGGCTAGTTATAGGTATTTATTGCTGTGTTGCACCTATAAAACCCATAACATAGCTTTGCTGTAAAAACATACAAGCTTTATGTAAATTTATTCTATTCTAAAAATAAAAAAAAATTCCGGATGCTTCAGAAGATATTTTCATTAGATTGTTTAAATCTTTGTCTTAAAATTATGTCTTCGTTTCGGATGCCAAAGAATTTACATTCATAACATCACACCCTCTGTATTTCAGACCAGTAATTTTAGAAGGTCATTTCCGTTACGTAAAGGGCGTTGTACCTCAACATTCAGACGTCCCCGTTACTTTCCCTCGCAAGACGGGCCAAACGACTAGTTTTTTTTTCTCTCCTGCGTGTGTACAGAGTGAGATGTTTACATCTGATGTCACGTGACGGCTCACGAGTGTAACAAGATGGCGGGTCATGTAGTACATGTCTTTACCGGCGTCTTGGTCTGTGTTTAATATGTAGGGGAGGGAATAGTTACTGACGTTTAAATGTAAGGCCCTGGGTTATCTTTCCTTATTCATTTTATTTTAGATTTTCTAATTCGGTGAATGTTTTTAAACAGATAAATTAGAAATTACCTGAGATTGCGCTGTTAGAAAATGTAAACTAAATTACGAGACAATACAAAATTTACCTATTTATTGTTTTTTTTTAGTCTAATTGGGAGGCCTTTGGCATTATTTGGTATCTTCTGCATTATTAACTAGACGGCGAATTAATATAATGAAACATGGTGCCCGCTTGGTTGAGACTCCCCCTCCCGAAACCCCCCTCCCCATCCTCACAACCCTCTCCCACACAAGCCCCCTCCCCCTTGAATTAATCACACACACACATAAGCCTACACCAACAACGGTTCCAGCACTTTTGTCCTTCGATACGCCGTCTTCACGTCTTACTCACACGGGTTGATGTCCACTAAATGACCGGCGGAGTACGTGGGTCAAATATCTCCCCTCCCTCCACCCCCATACTTCACGATGACTCGGATAAATATTTGATCGGCGATATTACCACCGCGGCGCGGGTCTGTATTCCGGTACATGCGATATTGATCGAAGTGGGAGGGGGGGGGGGGAGGGGTAATGGACGATCGATGAAAGTGAAAGTAGCGACGCGCATGCGCGGGCCGTCAAGGTGTAACATGGATTAGATCACGTGACCATGAATCACGTGTCATCCAGGAGTCTGGATGAAATGGATACTGACAGATGAGGGTCGCTCGTAGCCTGGATTTGACTTGAAGTGAAAGATTTTTAGAAAATATCGATTTGTAAATGGGAAATTATGTTAGAGTTTGGTGGGGAAACGGTGTTTCTTTCAGACTTCTTTCTCTGGGGTGGGGGATGTGGGGGGGGGGGGGCTAAATTTTTCGGGTATGTGGGGGGAGTGGGTGGGGTGGGGGGAGGGAGGGATGCGGACACTGGTAAAATCATATATTTTCTATATAAATTCCATTTTATTCGAGGGGGGGGGGGGTCAGTAGACTTTCTTCGCGAGGGCTCTGTCCCTCCCTTCCTCCCCCCCCCCCCCCCCCAAGACGTAAGAGATGCCTGGAAGAAACTCAGGTGGGAAATATTCTAGTTTGGTGGGATACAGTAGCCTTTGTTTAGCACGCCTTTCAAGAGCTTTTAAGTATAGTATGTCGGTACCGAATCCTGATATATCCCACAATACATTCCAAGATAGCAATCGCATTCAATACAAGTGTTGAGGCGCCTATTTATAGACTAATGACCTAACGGCAGGGGAGGAAGGTTCTGTTCTTAATCTTTTATTCCTAAAGTCATTAGCTTAGGCCTTAGGGGTAAGGTGAAGAAGTAAAAATTATTTTTGAAGTCCGTTTTGAAACTCCAGTTTATTTTGGAGGTCTGTTTTAGAGGTCTGTTTTCGAGGTCTATTTTGGATGTTTAGTCTATTTTGGAGGTCTGTTTTGAATGTCTAGTCTGTTTTGGAGGTCTAGTCTGTTTTGGAGGTCTAGTCTGTTTTGGAGGTCTAGTCTGTTTTGACAACCCAATTTATTTTGAAGGTCTGTTTTGGAAGTTCATTCTCTTTTGGAAGTTTAGTCTATTTTGGAAGACTAATCTGTTTTGGAGGCTAGTCTACTTTGTTTGTCTATTATATTTCGGAAGTCTATTTCGGTAGTCTAGTATATTTTGGAAGTCTATTTCAGTAGTCTAGTATATTTTGGAAGTCTATTTCAGTAGTCTAGTATATTTTGGAAGTCTGTTTCGGTAGTCTAGTATATTTTGGAAGTCTATTTCAGTAGTCTAGTATAATTTGGAAGTCTTTTTCGGTAGTCTTGTATATTTTGGAAGTCTATTTTGGTAGTCTTGTATATTTTGGAAGTCTATTTTGGTAGTCTTGTATATTTTGGAAGTCTTTTTCGGTAGTCTTGTATATTTTGGAAGTCAAATTTGTTACAAAGAAAAGCTTTTAGAGAAAGAGCAATCATAGATGGAGCGTGTAGCTTTTTTAGTTTTTTTAGTTGATGAAATGCGAAGTAATGAGGATATTGTGATCCATTGGAGTCATCTCCAAAGTGACAAGAGTAATTCCCCTTGGAATAAACTAAGTGGCCAGGACAATTTTCATTGGACAGGCCACAGAGTTCGCTGACCTTCCTGAACATGTGAAAATTATTTCCCGCCATTTGTCCCAGGGGACGTAGGTGGCGCTGTATCCAGCACGTGATTTTTGCCTGAATTTGATTAGTCTACTTTCATCAGCTGTACTCCGGGTGATTGTGATAGCCTTTTCATTTGTGGGGTTATGAACTCGCCAGCACTCGTTCTTTCAGACTCCCCCCCCCCCCCCGCCCACTACCACACACACTGAAACACGTCCACCCAATTTCAATTTTCGGTTTGCCCCCCACCCCCCCTCGAACTTTCGATTGGGACCCCCTTCCCTCAAACTTTCGTTTTGCACCTCTTAAAACACTATTTAACACTCGAATTAATCACTTAATAAAGTGGAATTATCCTTTTTCTCTATATATTTTGCTCTTTTTTTGCCTTGGTGTCACCCCCCCCCCATAAATGGTGTCACCCGGTGCGGTCCGCACCCCCGCCCCCCTCGCTACGACTCTGATATATATATATATATATATATATATATATATATATATATATATATATATATATATATATATATATATATATATATATATATATTCATACATACATCATACATACATACATACTCACATCCATACATTAACCTCCCCCATCCCCTGAGCAAAATGTCTAATGGAAACCCCGCTTGCTAATGAAGAATAGAACCTCACACATTTCTAGAGGGAGGTTTTATTTTTGCAGTGTGTTATTTATATGTAGGCTTATAATGACATACCAAGTTTCTAATTAAATATACAGGATCATCATAATATCACAGTAGCTGTTTTCTATACTTGGATAGTTGCGGTTTATTCCTAAAGCATCGTACAGTTTCAGACCCACATACCTTGCGTGTAAGCTGAGTTAGCTTTAGATGAAAAAAAAAATATAATCAACTCGATCGCGTTGGGTTGTTTCTAAAAGGCTAAAATTCTGACCGAGCATTGTTTTCTAAAATATTTTATTTTTTTCCCCTGCAGAATGAGAAAAATATAAGCAAGGGGAGTTAATCGGGTTATCTATATACGTAAAATAAAAAAAATCAGTTATCGTTCGTTAACGGTACCTTTAAAAAGGAATCTTAACATTCAAGATTTTATTTACAAATGTAAATAAACATGTAAATTTTGCTAATGTAAATTTACTAAAGTAAATAAACAGCCATCATAGATACCACCCACACTCTCATGGGTCTCTGGGTTTTACCCCGTCCTCTACGTCTGTCACAAAATATCAGACAACAGCCACACCCCTTTACCTAAAACTCATGTCATCCCTTAACTGCTAATTCACTTCACCTCAAAAAATTTGTTTTTAATAACAAATTTAGGTGGCACAATACTGATATTGATCAGGTTTAATTGAAATTTAAAAATAAAATTTTAAAAATCTTAAGATATTTTTAAAATGTTTAAGTTGGGCATGACACTTTCTGACAACCCCCCCCCCCCCCCGCCACACACACTCTCTTCCCTTACCCCCACACATTATCATTTGAGTCCCAATCCACCCTCACCTAAAAGTGTGACATCATCTCATGATAATCTTCTCCCTCCCCCCCCCCCCCCCCTCATTCATTCAACAGATTCTGTAAAAATGAAGCTAAAAACCTCATTGGCCACAAATATTCAGCATGATTTCCAATTTTGGAAGTTCAATTAAATTAAAGTAATATTTTTATTTCTTTCAGTGCCCTGTACATGGTTTATAAGTGTATCGCATCAAATATCTTTGACTGCAATGATGCCGCTATGAAAAACTTTGAGCATTACTATCATTCTCCCACCAGTTGTTCCTTCACTGCCGATCAGGTGTGTAACATTTACTCTTGTATCTTTTGTTACATCTGCTGTTGTGTTCTATCTTTTATATATTTTTCTTAAAACTTTTGCTGTTGTATCTAACTGTATCCGATGGCTGTTATGGTTAAAGTAAATATTTTTTAAACTTTTAATGTTGTATCTAATTGTATCTGATTGTATGATTAAATGAAAATTATTAATTTCAAATAATGAATAGGACCTTAAATTTCATTACAATTAATATCTTGCTTGCCACAGTTTATAAGTTTTATAGGCTTTTTTTTAATAGGTTTTTTGTTGATGCTGAAATATATAATAATAATTATAGTAAAGTATAAGCATCAGTTTTTTATATTAGCTTTTTCAATATAAATCTATATATAACAAGTTTCCAATTATATATATATATATATATATATATATATATATATATATAATTGGAAACTTGTTATATATAGATTTATATTGAAAAAGCTAATATAAAAAACTGACTATATATAACTAATTAAATATATAATTGATTAATCAACTCCATTGGTTGTATATTCTACACAGACCTTGTTATTACAAGACATTAAGATTAAGAGCGAGCAGGCAGCTAAAGCAAAAGAAAAAAATGAGATAACCATCCCTCCAGTAGAAGGCACAACCAGTTCTTTAGACCACACAGAAATTGTTAGAACTTCAACTCTTGCAAGAAACAATAGTTTTTCTAGCAAGGAGGAACACAAGGGACAGAATTCACACAGTGAGTTTTACTTCTTAGCCTCCCTTTTATTTTATTTTTTACTTCTTAGCCTCTCTTTTATTTTTTATTTTTTTTTTTTTTTGCTAAAAAGTTAAATAATAATAAACCGAAAAGGGAGAAAAAAAAACGGATATAAAAGCCATGTTATTTTAGTTGACCCAGCATTGAAAGTACAAAACATAAATTAAGGAAAGTAAGATATATATAAATGTACTCAGCCCATAACTAGCTGTACAAGGGCAGGAAATTTTTAGTTAAATACATTTAATAAAATATCTGGAAATAATATTTGGTGACTAAAAACAAAAACGTTTGATTTATTACATGTTAGGTATTCCTTAGCACTGAGTATAAATATTAATTTCATGGAAAACTTTATCATGAAGAAAAATTAATGTACTGATAAAATATTTTTAAAATATGGATACTTAAAAGTTAATGTTATGTGTACATTATCCCACTTTTTATTTTAACAAGTTACCAAAGTAACACATTCAGTTAAATGAAGAACCAAAATCGTATCATATGCGGATTTTAGATGCCTTGTGTGGTCGGATGACATGCTTTTAGTTTTAATTTGCTTGTGAAGATTTTTTTTGCTTTTTTAAAGCTTAAGTTTTATATTAGATTTATTCTAGTTATTTTTATACATTTTTATATATTCAAAGCTATTTTAAACATTCATATTTGTTTATAGTATATTTAATCAATTAAATTTTTAAAATTTAAAATTATTTTTTTCTACTTTCAGATGGTGCTAGTAATATTTGTACGCACGTTTCAACTTCTCTGTTGCTGGCGCTAGTTTTAATATTAACATGACTAGAACTACCCTAGAACAAATCTTTACCACCGTCACCAGCATCAGAAATGTCTTCATCATCATATCAATTAATATTCAATTGGCTGATCAATCTCATATCATTCCTATCTAGTGGCGTAGGCAGAAGGGGTGTTGGGGGGCCTGAACCCCCTTCCAATACCCCAGCCTACACCCTTGTTTTTATCCATGTGGCCGCAAATAGATTTGCCATCGTTGCTTATCTCATGTTTACTACCCTTTCTTATCACAATATTATAAATGATTCTTAATGAAACTAGTTGTAATAGCTATACAGTTAAATTATAGCTAACGTACACTGTATTGTATATAATTTGTAAACGTGACTGATTATAAATTAAACATTAACAGGGGAATAAATTTTAAAATTAAAATATAATTTACCATTACATAATAATATTTTAAATATTAATTAATTAATTAACTGTAACTGCGGTATGGGGTTTTATCTGTATTCAACACCTTGCAGTTTTGAATATCAAAAATGATTGTAAAATATTTCAGGCATATTTTAAATTGCCTGTAGTGCTTCTCATTGATTTCATGTAAAGATTTCAGTGGGTACTGTGAAATTAGGGAGCTGAATTTAGTCAGTTAAATTATTTTTGAAAATATTATTTAAAAAAAAAACACGATTGAAATAAAATTAAAAACTTTATTTACAGTATTTATTTGTAAATAAATAACCAATAGTCAAAGCTCTGGTTATGTGTGTTAACTGTGAAAGCTTTAAAAAGTTACTTTGAGACTAGAATTAAATACAAAATACATAAGATTTTTGTATTTGGATGAAGAAGAGGGATGTGGCAAATTTTGCAATAGCGACGGTTACTAAAGAGTTAAAGTGAATGCTCTTTAGTTACACCAGAATGGACATGTTGCTTTAGTTTGGTGCTCAGGGTTAAAAAAAATGTATTGTGAATTAAAAATAATGTGTGTAAAAACATTTATACAAAGCTGTAATAGGTTTTAAAAATTTTATTTTTAAAATGTAAAAATGAATGCATTGATACAGTTAAGTCTTTAAAATAACATAGGGTAGACATATGTAGTTTAGGGTACTAAAATAAATATGTGTTAATCAAAATTGTTTTGTTAAAGTGTTAGGAATGTTCTGTTCATTTTGCTTCTTGGGACATTCCAACTTTTTCTTCAGTTTTTTTTAAGTTGAATTCTTTTCACTTTTTGGCATATTTGCTCATGTTGCCTTAACGGGCAGTGGCTAAGTTTATTTTCTCTGGGCAACAAAAGCAGCTTAAATTTTCTCTTTGTTTGTTCCCTCTCTACTTAAACCATTTTCTTAAAATAATAAATCTTGCATTATCAAACCTTAGTTTGACACACCCATTTCTTGGTTACGTCCCTTGGTCTACTATTCTCTTTTAAAAGCGTAAACAAAATTAAAGTGCTTTTTGATTTAACTTATTTGTCTGGTTAGAATATATTAAGTTTTTATGTAAAGCTTAATTGGTTTCATTAATTGGTTCATTTTAAACAAGTTTAATTAATAAAAAGCTGTGTAATATATTCATTTATATATTCAAGTTTTTTTTTTCTTACTATTCTTTTTTTAAATTAACTGCAAACACAATAAAATTAACATTCCAATTTCCTTTGGCAAATTTTTTTTTAAATATCTCAAAGCTACGAATTGTGATGGTTGTAAAATAATTAATTGTGATTAAGCTGCACGTGAACAAACTGTTGATTCATTAAATTTGATTTTGTTTTATAAAACTTTGAGAAAACAATGTGTGAGTTGTAGTTTAAAAGATTTTTTGAGACAATTTTTGATCCTATTGTAATCTTGGGGCCTAATTGAAAAGATAATTTCAAATTGTTTTACTGTAGTATAGGAATTTAATTGATACAAAATAGATCTGGATTTTCTTTGTAAGTAGTTGTTTTGACGACAACACTGCTGTTGTGCCAACATTCTAAAAATATATGTAAAAAAAATATTTGAATCATAAAAAAATAGAATATTAAAAATTGTAAGTGCTAATTTTTTATATTTTTTTTGTTTTCAATTTTTTTGATATAATATATGTAGTTGTAAAAATATGTATAAAAATACTTCAAATCAAAATCATTAAGGCAGTCTTTTTTGTTAACTCTGTTGTTTTTTTTTTTTAATTTAAATAGTATAAAACTTATATAAAATATGAAATGCTGAGTTAAGTCCACAATAAGATATTTCAAAGTGTTTTTCTATGACATTAGCAAAATTAAAGGGTAACACAAAAAGCGGAATTATTATTCAGGTCATGTATTTTTCACAGAGGTACTAATTTATTTCAAACTAATTATTAATTAGTTCCACCTGTTTAAAATTTTATTTTTATTATGTTTTTAGGTACAATGTAAAAAGCTAAATACCCTAGATTGACTACAGCATTTTAATTGCTTTTATGGTTGTGAACTTGTACAAATTATTTTATGGTTTTAATTCTATTTTGTTGAATTAGCTATAGCAAAATTATTTATTGATTAATAATCAATTGTTGCTTAAAAAATAAACATTTATAACAAAATTGCATTTTTATATAATATAATTATTTATATATTCAAATTTTTGTACTACCTATGAAATCCTATTATATCACTTCATCTGTAATGCAATGAGCCTTCACATCATCGTCTAAAGCTTCTAATTTACTCAAGAAAACTGTTACCAAAGCACAAAACCTATGTGTACATTCATTATCGATAGCAGAAACAAGCTTTGTTGTGAGCCCAGCTTAATTGTAAAAAAAAAAAAAAATTACGTATGGTTTTATGGTGATCATTTCTTTACCACTGCCAGTTCCGCTTGAGTTGTTAATCATTTGATGGATCTTATAATTACATTATCTTGCCTGTTTTTTTTAATTAAATCATACACATTTATAAATAATGTGTTTTGTCTTGATTTTAAACAAAGCATTGAAAAAATTTTTTATCGCTCATCAGTGGAATTAATTATGCTAATCATTGGCATAAGTATGCCTGACTTTGTGACTTTTAAAAAAAGTTTTTAAAAAATATATAAACTGGAAACACCAAAAAAAAAGCTTGTAGCCCACACCAACCACTCCAACGTTGCTACCATACTGGTATTCAAAACTAACGAAAAGAGCCGAAGATGTTCTAATAAGAGCCACAGGCATTAAAGAAAATTTACTTCTGAAATAGAATACCTTTAGACTTTAGCAAAAAATAAATTGTCAAAAATGTAACTTTTCATTAAACTGATGCTCATCAAACATTTATACTTTTAAAGATGGATTATAAACAATAATAAATTTTATGATATAATATCTTTTATTTGCAAATTAAGAAGACAGTAAAATGACAAAAAACAAACAACATACTTTATGTTTCATCTTTCATTATACAAGGATAAAATGTTATTAAAAAAAATTATATATGCGTATTGATATATAGGGTAAATTGAAGTTAAGCAGTTAATATATGGACAGTCTACAAAATTGATATCAAGATACATAGAATCTTTATGTTAAAAAAAAAAAAGTTTTTACACTATTTGTACAATAAATTACATAACATCTAATTAAAATATTTTCAACAACAGGATAGAAAAAAAAGTTTGTAATTATTTTATTCAAGAAGCCTTTACTTTATATTTATTCACCGATCCATTCAATCTTCTAACTTTGTTATGAGAAGGAAATCAATCAGTAGTAAAACTCTTATAAACCAATCCACGATCTATACCATCATACCAGTTTACAGTTTTAAAAAAAAAACCAAACAATTTTGTTCTCAGACTAACAGAATAATCTAACTATTGATCTTTGAAACAGAAACTTAACAGAGACTAATGAACCTGAATGCTTTAATGCTTCAGAAATTTTCAGGATGGCGGTATTAGTGTGTTCGCTCAAGCATGTCATATGTTATTGAAAATTGATGGCTGGCGCCACTAGTTACCGTGCAGGTATTCTTTCAATGACCAAGCTTCCTTCCACCATGAAATAAATTATTTGCGTAATCAATGGACTGGTATATTTTGATCTATTTTTATGAGATTAAAAAAAATCGATAGCATAGCAAATAATAGCATAATTTGAATGAACTTAATGTTAAACTAATCTGCCATCTAGTGCATTGTATTTTAAATCATAATTATAATTATATATAGTTTGACAATTTGTATATAAAGTTTTTATCAACTATTTTATATACACTAAAAAAAAAAATAGGAGTTTTTATTTTTAAAACAAGGTTCAATTAAAATTATTTTTTAAGTTATACAAAAATATACAGTAATGATAAGTATGGATACCATTTTTAAGTACATAATAAGAACAAAGGTTATGAAATTAAAATTGATATAAAATATATATTCTTTAATAAAATGTCTATGAATGGCGCTTTCTATTTAATGTAAACAAGTTGTCAATGGCAACAATTCAACACTGTTTCCAATTGCAATATTTGAATATTTTTAAAAATCTTACAAATAAAGTGTTTTATTTGTATGAAAATGTTGCCATTTAAAAAACAAAACCAAAATTTATTGAACTTCACACATAAAGAGTTGGTCAAGATAAGCTGATGATTATTGACTATTTTTTTTAAAACCATATTCTGGAAATTTACTGCAGAACTACATGGAACACTATTTAAAAACATCACACGCACTCAATTCAAATTTCTTATGTACACAAGGTATAGATACAAATAATTGCTTGAACAGATCTATAAATGTTAGTTTTGTAGAATGAGATCTTTAGAAAAAGTAATATAATGTTGAAGCTCTTATAAATAAAAATCAATAATTACCCTAGCATCATTCTACAATCAATGAGTGCTTTAACTGTTAGGCCATACAGAAACTCAAATATTTATTTTAAAATGTATTCAAATATGTATTCTGAATATATTTTTGTATAAACCTTTTTAAGAGAAAAATTCAATAATTAAAATAAAAAGGACCCACTCATACAGGCTGAATTATGCAAGTTTTGAGCAAATA